TGCTCTACGCATAATTTGCATAAAACGAGAGCCAGCTCCCACAAAAAAATCTAAAATTCATATCGATGGCCAATCAAAAAATGAAAAACTCATAAATAAAATTTATAGCCTCGCTCGTATTATGGTCCCCCTAGGCACAAAGTGGGAGGGATTGGGCGAGCTCGAACGAAAAAAAAAGGGTACGCAAATAGTTAAAAGACTAGGGGTGGGTGAAATATCTCTACAATGATCGTATGATGCATGTTTTATTTCCACATTTACTTCTTTTATGCGCCGATTTTGTCATGCGATTGAACAATAAAAAGGAAAGGAGCGAAGCTCAGAATAAAAAGAGAATCGATGGTCGGCTCTATGAGGAGAAGAGGGTGAGGAAAAAAAACGCGCAGACATAGGGAATACATGGATATAAATATATAGGTAAGAAGGGATGCGAGGAAAACATAAACGCAAGACAGTGCTACTTTATGTCTGGATATAGTTGTCCACTTGACAGATGCGTCCCGATCTCCTCCAAATAAATGCAGATATAAAGGTTCTTTTCATATAGATATAAATGGGAGTGAGAGTATCTGGAAACGTGTGTACGTATGCAGGGTGTGTTGTTTTTCTTTAGATGTCTGCGGAGCTTTGAAACAAAACGATTTCTCAATATACATGTTCCTTATCTGTGTATAACGCTCCATTTCAAGACATGAATATATAAAATTCTCACTAGCATCCTCGAATAACTCACAATCAGGATTCAATATTTAATATACCAACATTTACGTTACATACATTTACTTATTATTATAGGTTATAATATAACAAATTTTAAACAGGTCAACGCACATATTGATCAAATTTATTGTAAATAATGAAATTCCAATTTGTTATTTAAACTACAATTATGTCCGGGCTTTCCACATAAATCATTTAAAAAAATGATAAAAACTAACTATAACTTTGGAATGTTGAAATGAAGTAGATTGTATTTAATGAGTTGTAAGAAAAAAAACGTCTGGCCGATAATCAATAAATGACATTTATGTACATAAGAAACGCTTTGATGTTACGCAACCGCTTAAAGGAGGAGCGTATATAAAATGTTGAGGATGTTTAATATACTTTATGCTGTTTCTTTTACATGAAAGCATACTGAAATTTGGAATTTACATCGGTGTTATTTGATAGGACGGAATTTTCCATCTTTGAAAAAAATAAAATACAGAAAAAAAAATCGGTGGGTATTTATTTACTTATTTTTTATTCTGAAAATAAATTAAAATTTTTCTTTAGCCAGGGGTGTCTGGGGCGTGCATTCATGGATTTTTTTTTTATTTAATTAGATTGGTTTATATGAGAATATGCTGTGGAAAGCATAATATAAAGTTTGCATAAATATTGAATTATTTATTTTTAATGTAATTAGTAAAAGCATATAAAGTAATGAAATACAATAAATATAAATAAAATATGATAATATGAAATTGAAAATATTTTGATGTTTACATTTAATTAATTACAATTTGTTTACGTAATTTATTAAAATATTAATTTAGCGTAATGCAGCGTAAATTCGAATTAGAAGTCATAATATTAAAATATTTTATTTGCGAATTTATTTAAATACTATATTCCAAATATACATTTTAAATGATAAAACTGCCTCCACTTTAAACGATCCGTCCGTTTGTATTTGTTATTTTTTTTAATTTTCCTCTGTTCCTATTCCTGCTGGCATTATACTTATACATACTTTGTGCAAACATTTCATGCATTTTACAAGATTTCAGGAGCTTCAAAAACGAGAGAAACGCAGAATTTCGACTGCTAAAGCGCTCATCTTTATGCACACACAATATTACAATGTACATAGAAAACAAAGCTTTGCTATACCTTAAGAATATTAAATTGAATGGAACTGTAAATATTTCTTCCATTTATGTAATCCGTTATTATGAGACATGCATGCATTTAAGTCTCGACTTCAAATATATAAAAGTTTAAGCATGTAACATATCATAAATTATATTGTATACTTACATGTATTGAATAATTTTGTGTTCTCTGCTTTTCTGAAGTATGTTTTTATTGGATATTATGGTTCTATTTAAAAATGTAGATGAAGGATTTTTTGTAAGATCAAGTTAGGGAATAGGATGTCATTATTGGAATTCTAACTGTAAAGATAGAAGACAATAAATAAAATGTGCAAAGGAGTTATGAGTAATTTGAGTGAAGAGAAATTTGCATTCGAGTGCTTTTACCGGAGTATCCTCATTAGTTGGCGCTCCTTGATGCCGATTGATTCAGTAGTCTCCTATCTATATTAACCTCAGCTCTGGTCTTGATACTGATTAATTATTGGATCGCTGATTATTCAGTACTCCACGAATAGATCGATCCTTCCAAATGACTTTTCGCCCCATCGAGGGGGATTCGCGGACCATACATTTTAAAGACAATTGCGTCCGGGGGTTACTGCTAATGAATAAAAAGAGAATGAGCCACGAGAAGTTTCAAATGGCCAGGACTATTAACAGACCCGGTATTCAATTACGATGTCGATTCTTTTGAACCGTTATTTGGCCTGTAAATTCATTACTTTGATTGAAGATATATGAGAGAAAATAAGCAACACTGTTGGAAAAAAAAATTGAACAATGCAAATAATTAAATACCGACTAGTTTCAATGTCTTCAGAAAAAAATAAAACAATTATTTCGTTCCATTTTTTTAGCAGTTGTAAGTAAATACTTCTAATTCTATAATATTGTTCATACATCACTTAATAATTTGATAGTTAGAGGTAGCAGAACGTGGAGTTGTTATTTCTATTTAATGGTTAACGCTTCCAATGGGAAATACTATTACGTTAAGCATTAAAATTCAATCAATCTTCCCTAATTGAGCGTCGACTTTCACGCTCTCTTCACCCGACCAATAAATAAAAATCCGGCCACCCTGTTTCTGACTTAATTCCTCGCATGCGATTTTGGCGAAATCGGATGCCCGGGGAAGTGCTGCAATTCGTTACGGTATTTTTGAATTTGCATTCGATTCTTAGGTTAGCCAGTAACTAGGTCATACCATTTACTCCAGCTTGGGTGAATTTCATTTCCCGTGATATCGCACGACATCGATACTCCTTTCAGTACGTATAACGGCGTTACGGAAAACTCATAAGCGACAGTTTTCAAATTACGCCGTACTTTCTCACTGGCAAGTATAGAATTCCTCCTCCGAAGTCACGAATGTATAAATGGCAGTGCGATAATACTTGAAAGCCCTTTCAAAATTCGCTTCTCAATTTACTTTGTGGTTTCTGTTCAATTGTGTAATATAAACAAATTACTATCATTAGTACCTCTTATTGAACAGACCTTTTATTAATATGCCAATTAATATAATATAATATATCTTAATTTTCAACAAAAAAAATACAATTACAAATGCTTATATCATATTATAAAGAAATTTTGTGTGTATACATTAATTCGATGGATATTTGTTTTGATCAGTGATTTATATAATTTTCAAATTTGTCGTAATATTTGATTCTTAATTTTCTAACAGTAATATATTCTGTCGCACGAGTAATTATCTAAAATTATACCAATATACAAAAGCAATTTGTAATTTGCAAATATTTACACATTTGCACAAATTGAGCGAACGCACGTATCTCTGCAGGGAGTTCACGTTTACAGTAAGTGCGCTCAAAATAGTTTGGTAGTAGAAATTTGCAGAAACCAGAATGTTTGTGTACTAGATGGAGTTGTGTATGCAACAAGGGCATATATGGAGTTAATTAAAACTGTTTGGCACAGCAACTAGCAATGACGATAAGTACAATTGATCTAGGCTGAGTACCGAGGGAGAATTTTGTTTAAATTATGAGAGCAGAATATCAGCAAACAAACATTGATTAATAAAACTCTAATTAAATTACTAATACACACTATAAGCATACTTTATAAATCTATGTATGCGCAAAAGTTTACGTAAATATGTACATTAGAAATTTTCTTTGTGGTCAATAAAAAATGCATTTCAGGGCAATATTCGAAATTGATAATTAGTATTAAATATTGAAATAGTCACAATAACTTATTATAATTAATAACAAAATATAACTTTTAATAATTCTTGATGGGTGAAGACTGATCGTTAGTAAGTCTAGTACAAAGAAAACGTTTTGCTTTGTTAAAATTGAAATCTGTTGAGATATTATAAAATATTAATAAAACTTTACAAATCTGTGATTCTTACATTTTCTTGTGTCAGTTTCATTTCTTTGTCCGTTCATTATATTTCTTGTACACCGTTCCTATTGCTTTTTTTTTATGTTTCATCAGAAAATTCGTGTTGTACTAATAATTAACGAAGTTTTAATTAGCGCAGGAATATAAAAGTGGAAGACTGTTAACAACTTTAAAAGTGTTCAAAGACATAGGCGTTGGGACGTCGCTGAGCGTTATTAATGTATTAATTAAGCTTTTGAGTTTCTCAACCGTTGTATCTGTATATATGTATATACATATAGTTTTACAATGTATGATGTATGTATTTAGTGATATGTTCGATGCCTTCGGGTTTATATGCATGTGTATGCATGACAGCAATTGCTTAAGGCCTTGGCGCAGTCAGCGTGTCCTGACTTGAGGGGCAACGGCGATGGCGGTGGACCTATGGAAACCGTTTTGAAGGGTGGCAGGCGGCGGAACGGGGTAATTAGTAATTACACGCATGTTCGCCGCAAACGATACATATATCACGATTCTCTGTTATGATATGCTAACCCTCTGATTTGATTACGGGATTAACCCACTGCATGTAGCAATAAGTGGCTATTGTTAACTTAGATTACACATATAGAACCGACACACGCCGAAATAACCTTACGTTGTGATTGATGTCTACAGGTGCAAGGTTCATTTATAGATGCGCGTAGGCGCGTTCCGTTTATTTCTATAAAATATGAGATGCAATATTGTATTACGTTCGGAGGTGCTCGTAGTATAATGTTTATTAGAGTAAATCATGGCTAGTTACAATACAGTGTGAAACATAGGATGCAAATCGAATATAAAGGTTTCGAGATAATACCGGGAACCTTACAGCTTATTACTACACACAAGAGAAGACACTGAAGCGAAGACAGGAATACCAACTGCGTAATAAAGTAATTTTTTGCATATTAATATTTGCTATTTTATACTTTCTTTATATTTTTATTATATAAAATTTCGTTAAAGATCTGAAAATTTGATTAGTTTGTATTGAATTTAGTGTGGTAATAAATCTGCAACTTAAATAATTTCATTAGCTATGATGTAGCATTTCTCTCATAAAATGTTAATTTACTTTCATTGCGTAACGTTGTGTGGAAATGTTTTATGTGGAAACGTAAAGAAAAATAGTGCCGTGTTTTTATTATATTGGGGGGAATGTATGCAGCATTTTGAATTTATTAGATTCTTTCATTTGCGTGCATAATGCGTATCGGTGGGTGGTCGTCATGTTTGTGCGATGCGAGGGTGGCGGAATATGCAAATGTCTGCAAAAGCAATTACGGAATGGAATTTTGATTTTCGAATGGGAAATAAAAGAGAATGAGAAAATACAGTGGCGAGAAGGAAAACAATTCCTGCACGCTGAGCTCACAGGTGATTGGGATTTATCTGTGATTCAAATCAATTCAGAGAATGACGGACGGACATGTTTTGTTTGTTCCGTAATTCTTAGGTCGTGGCTAGTCGATCGACAGATAAATGCGAATTCCAGTTTTCATAATTACGGCATGAACAGTATATATATATATTCTTAGTAATTTGATGTTGAGCGGAAATACAATCGTTCTAGAATAATAATTCAATTTGCTTTTAGAGATGTGATGGATGTGGTGAAATAAATATTTGCGAAGTGAAATGAAAAGTCGGGAAGTTTGTGCGTGCGATGGATACGGTTCTATGTGAACGTGTGGGCGATGGGGGGTGACTTTGGGGATAGAGGGTTATTCTACGTGCGTGTTGTGAAAGGCTCGAGTCAAAAAATAATATCGCAAATCCCAAATCCTCTACTTCGGCAAGGATATGTGGACCACCGGCGCAAATACGCCGTATAATAAATATCTAAATCTCCTCTATATGCACATATCTCCGACGTATCTTCGGAATACTGAAAAGGTTAAGATTATGAGTGGAGTTCCTGGGATGCAGCCATATGCATTTTCATACGTGACTTGCATGCTTTCCACAACCAGAAGCTGTGTGCATGCCAACGAATTATTTTTCAGCCCTCTCCCTCAAATTAACACCCCCTTGACCTTTACCCATTTCGTACGACCACGCGATCTCGACACCAATTTATACTGCAATAGCATACTTTTCCATTTCATAAACAGTTTCATAAAATAATATTAATCAAACAAAAGTTAAATATTGACTGAAGAAGAATTTCAGAAAATCTTGAACTTTTCTTAATCAAGTAAACATGCAGTAGCATAAAAGCTTGAGATAATTAAATGAATCTTATTTTTGTATCAGGTATATATTTTATTAGTACATACAAAAATTAAGTTGGTTATGGATAATGACAAAGTTGTAACTATAACTACGAAATTGTTATTTATAAAATGTGATTAGTACTTTTCGTTTTTGGTCATGGAATTATAATATTGTTAAGTGTATTGAAAAATCATAAAACACACTGTTGTTCAATTACTCAGTAGAATTCCTTAATTCGAGGCGGAAGAAGTATCATGTAATTTTAATGATATTGATGTAAGTTACATTACAATAGTTACAATATAAATATAATGTAAATGTGATGCAGGTGGACGAGTTCTTTTACACGTCTACGATAGTCGGAGGGATGTGAGAATAGATGGGAGCTTAAAGGTGTCTTCAACTTCGAGAACTCGAGATATTGACTGCACAGCATGATTGCTCCGAAATGCTAGAAGTACAGGCTGCTCCTTACCAACCATACAAGATGTCCATGCTGACAAAACTGTGAGACGATAACTTTCATACTTTTCACCTACAACTCGCGCTTATTATTTTAGTTACAGAATGCACGTTTCGAACCGGCTCCAGAAGCAGATTGACATGTTGTGCTTCTCCAACTTCAGCAACGTATTCGCTCAAGATGGCGACGATGGAGATGGTTCTGACTGGTAATGCGACAACTGGACCCGTGGTCAAGAATCACTCGAACTTCTTGTCGCAAGTCTGAGGGGTGACGATGAGGGATATTCTGTCCCGGTTGCGAGAACAGGACGAGCGGTGAAGATCCATTCGATTTTCATTGTGCAGATGTCGGGAATATGACACCCGCGGCATACCATTTGTTTATTTAATTATAAAAAATACATTTTATAATAACCGATTCTCCGCGTGGCAATAGATCGAAACTTTTCCCGGCGCGATAAATTTGCCGCAACCGCAATCTATAATATTGACGCCTCCCCTTGGTATCCTATTTCTTTACCTTCTCCCTCCAACAAATTCCGGTAATTATCAACGTTCCCATCGCCATCAGATAAAGAAGATCATCTTTCATAAATCGCAAAACCTATCAAAGGACAATATGTAAATTCTCCTGCCGAAAATAATTTGAAACACTTACACAATTTTGAAGCATAACTCTTGGTGCAATCGTATGCATGCAGGAATACATACAGCGATGCAATAAATTTGTTCCTTTTCGTAGAGCGTAGAGATCCATTTCTGTTTGGGTCACAATTAGAATGGTACAAAAAAAAATAATTAATTGGTATTCTTAACGAAAAATTGATGCCTACCTTGATATTTCTTTTCAACCGTAAGAACGGAATTAACGCTCACATTACAAGTGGCTATCCCGACCAAATCACGAAGGCGGCATAAATATTTTGACAGAATCATCCACTTCAGTAGTTGCTACATGTGTTCTTCATACCTAGTCTAGTCGTTTTATAAACACAAACTTGATGCTTTTCATCAGTCCATGGTCCTTTCAACGTTTCAAGTAATTCTCAAGCGTGTTTTCATCCAAGTTGTTGATAATTCTACGAGGTTGAAACCGTCACATTTCCTGCATTGTAAAAAATTGGTTTTACCAGAATGAAGTGCAACTCTGATCTCAATCATATTTACCATTCTTTTTTCGATTTCTCATCACGTTCACGATTCACGTTCTGGCTCGTAGAAAAATTCAACTTGTTATTCTTAACGACAGGTTGATATTTATTTTCAACCCTAACAACCGACCTAAGCCCCCTGAACAGCTTGTGTTTAGTATTTTATTAACCGTACAACCTGTATTAATTATTTATTTGCATATAATAGTATCAGCACTAAATATAAAATAAAAAAATAAAAAATATGTTTATTTAAAACAACATCACTACTGTGATTCTATTTTGAGGTCAAGCGCATAGCCTATTTAATAAACATTCAAAAGTTCTCCAATTTCGTGTTGGGGTTTGTTTTTTTTTCTCTCATATATGTACATAACGTTTCGTCGGGGGTAGAAATACATTAATGTTGTTTGACTAGCTGTCCCCCATACCACCATACAAGCAGTACAAACGACACGCAATACTCCGTTTGTTCTTATTACTCAAATATATATTTATCCCATGCTTTGAGAATATAAAATCCGACGAAACAAACTAATAGACAAACATTTTAATAGTGCCATACCAAATGTAAACATTTTAGAACGTTTTAGCAGTAGACTAATCAATCACTATCGACAAGAATGCAATTAGAGAATACCATTAAATATTGCATATTTAATAAACTGATTCGTTATGTGAAAAACATATCTCATTAAAGAATAACAAATGAGGAATGGCCAAGCACGACGACTGATTTAGTTCATGGCGTCCGCATTTATGACCTAATTTTTATGTTGAAGTGCATCTACTTGAGCATTACCCTCTTCGGTAATGAAGTTCGCATCTGTGTATTGTCGTATATGTGAAAACAACCTTCCTTTAATATGAAATACTGTGCATATTATGTTGTTTACAGAAAGGCAATAAATATTTTATGTACGAAATGAACTTTTATTGGTGTTTTATGAGCATGCCGTTAAACGCATGCATATGCCACATTACATTTGTTTATGTTAATAATTTTCATATGATCGAATTAATAGCATTTTTTAGGCCACAGAAAATGAATGACATGAATTTACTCGAGTATTAATGCATTCAATAAATACAGTTTAATAATCCTGATTAATTAATTTGACATAGAGAGATCATAAATCGTATCAAAAGTAGGCGTATTATAATTAGCGAATGTAATACGCCTACCTTTGACTATAATCACTAATTATACTAATTATACAATTATGCTTACTATTAGTGATTATTGTATAGTTTGTAATTTTATTCAAAAAGTGGCTTCTAACAAAAATAATAATTAATATCACATTTTAATAAAAAAAAAGGCTTTTATATAGTTTTATATATTGAGAATTCAACGTATTTACAAGAATATAAGCAAAATATAATCCTTCTACCAGGTGTTTGCATTCTTTCCGACTAAACTCGCTGTTTGTACTTGGCATTTCTTTGAATCGATTTATGTTTTTTCATAAAAGTTAGCATATTAATGCTATCAAGTTTTACCAAAATATCATTTTAATTTATGAATGTCACTTTCTTAGTGCAATGATTCTCAATCTTTCATATTTTGCGCCCATTTTACTTGAATAATTTTGAATAATTAATACAAGATAAACAAATATAATTGTTGAACTGTCATGTAATTATACTTTTAACTTTCCCTACTAAATATAAATATAAAACAAGCTTCAAATAGGAAGAAATCTCAGAGTGACTATCTCGACTATATAACCAAATATGGATAGGCGGTGTACTTCAAAACAGGCACAAATTAATCATATAAATCCTAGGAATGCTTTGATTTAATGCTTTCGTTTTATTTATATTATGAATTAATAAAAAAATATGTCCTATTTATATATTTGACGATTCCCCTTGTCAAGTTACGGTTACAGTTTGAGAACCGCTGTTCTACTATATTATGAAAAAGTAACACTATTGATTGAGGAAATTATAGTTTCTGTATTAGACGTAACAACTATATATTCACCTATTACATTGATCTATCATATAAAGTATATTTATGATTGCATTGAAAAAAAAAATGAATGACCTTCAATAGTTGTTGATCAATATTCATGTAGAATATAATTATGAAAAGGGATCAAAGCAAATAATAGGGATCAACTGTATGTTAGTTGTATTACAACTGTTTTATTGCAACGATAAATAATGTACACTCATATGTAAAGTATTATATTTTTCACGCAGATGTTAAATATGATTAATATATGAACCGGCGACAATGGGAATTGTAAAACATGGTAGACTGAATTGTAATTCGTCGTTGCCGCTGGTTGTTATGAATTTAAATAACATTTGTTAATATTATGCAACAAAAAATACTAACTATTAATGCTTCCCCAATTATTTCAATATAGATATATTTTTTTGGCTATTTAGATATTTATGTTTCAATAGATCAAAGAATATGTTAATATAATATACAAGAATATTAAGATTTCAAACCCAAGATGAAAAGGGCTTTTTTAAATTATTTTATTTTTTATTGACTCTAATTTGGGCGAAAATGCTTTTTTTAATTTAAGTACAAGTTATTATTTCCATTTTTATAGATATTAAGCTAATTTTAAAGTTGTTTAAAGTTATTTCAAAAAATTTCAACATTATCCAGTTTTAATATATCAGTAAATTAATAATAATAAACTTAATTAGTTGTACACAAGCTAAAAGGGCTACTAACAATTCCGCTTTATTTAATTTTTTATTTACTAATTTTTATTGACTCTAAATTGGAAAACAAGGCTAACCATTAACAACTTTTTATTATTTCCATTTTTATAGATATTAAACTAATTTTAAAGTTGTTGAAAGTTATTTCTACCCACATATTTAGTGTATAACATTATTACATTATTGTGATCTATTGGTTGTAAGTTTCAAGTTTTAATTATGTATCTTTACGAGTAGAAAATATCAAAATGTTTACTAATTGCACATTACAATGGCAAACTTGCTGGAATACAGAGCAGCGCCGAGCGGCAGTAGGAAACGGATGTAACTGTGTGTATCATATAATTGAGCCATGAAACATAAAGAGAAGATCAACAAGTTGTCAGTCGTCAAATAAGGGACGGGGTGGTGCGCAGGGGGAGAGGGGGGCGGTGGTTGTAGGGGCGACACCAGAGTTGACCTGGGGGTTTGTCGCGGCTCACCCTTTTCTTTCGTTCCATGGATGGTGGAGTCCGGCCGCACAAAGATTTATCGTTTAATTTCTGAAAGACTCTCTCCATTTTCTCAGTTTGTCTTTTCGAATAAATATAGTTCCCTGTGTTCGCAATAAAATATTATTTATGTTTTGCTTCAAATACACAGAACTATCTCAGACCTAGATCAGAGAACTATCTAGATCCATTATTATAAAACACAAAAAAGTATTACTCTAATTATCAATTTCCTAGAGGTAAAATCTATGTTTCACAAACATTACATTTCATTATTTGTAATTGGTGTATTGATATTTGTTTGACGACACTAACAAACATATTGCAACTTCATCTAATTTCGAATTCATTTAATAGTGAGCCGTAAATAATCTTTATAAATGTTGGGAATGCAATGTATGCATGCGACCTAAAATTTTCCAAAACAATTTACGACACTTCCAACGTCATGCATTTGTTTATGCTTGGCAGTGGGAAACATAAAGCTTTGCTGACAAATTCATACTTTGCTCAAATAACAGTGTCCGTCCAAATCACGACCATCACATTTGCACATGTTATTATATTATTTGTACACAACCACGAAACGCATTCGAAATTAAAGTTTATTATACAATTCCTAATTCGTTCGTTTAGTATCGCTATTACTGCAAACTACGATATCTATAGTACTATATGGGTTATAGATTCAGATAATTTATATTTATTTTATGAAGAATTTTTTATGAGGAAAGTTCTGTGGTAAAATACTTAATAACTTAATTGGAGTGGTAAATATATGTTAACTAGAAATTAAAAAAAAAGGTACTTTACAACACATTGATTAGATCAGACTCTAATCAATGTCATGTGAAGATAAAAATGCCGTGAAAGTCCTAAGGCCAAAATCCTAATTGGGACTGGTGCGGCGTTAAGGCAATTCACGGGTTCAACTAAAAGAAACTAAAACTACTTAGAAACTTTACCTACGGAAGAAAGAATACGAAAAGCTAAAGACCAACTAGCAAAAGCGTCAAACTTATGGGTGAAGTTCTGCCGCAGCAGTTAACACATCATATAAAAATAAATGCAGTTGTTTAACTTATTACATAACTTTAGTAAACAATCGTAAAGTATGTTGTATTGTTTTAGGTATCAATAGTGATCTAAAAAAGCAAATAATTATTTCTTATTATATATTATTGTTTTTCATAATACGAAACTTAAAAAGTTATCTATAATAACAAAAATCGAATTTATATCCTTTGATATAATCTAACTTTAAAAAATTGCAGAGAACTTAAACAATAACAAGTTTTTAGAGCAGTATGTAGTGGATAATATTTTTTTAGTTATAATATTTTAATATATGTATTACCGACTGTGAATATACTTGTATAATTAATATGTTAATTCGGTAAATTTGTACACTTAATAGTCAATATATGCACATATTAATTTCACAAGCAAGTGTATTCACTAGAAATGAAATTTTATCATTTACTATTATAAAAATACATTTCACCCTTTTTAGTTAATTAAATAAAAATGTATGTAAAGTTGTGTTGCATTAAATTATAACAATTATTGAGAAATACATGTATATAAATATGTTAACCATCAGAACAGATTAGTATAACAATAAAGTAAGGCAAAACATGTAAATATATAGTATGTACAATGTACTGATATAACATAATGGGGAAAAGTTATATTGTTCGGGTATTTGTAGATAAAGTGTTAGTTGATTGAAATTGGAAGCAATTTATTCGCATACGAAATGAAAGCGTCCGCCGGTCGAAATAAATGAAAGAAATCTATATTTATGTGTGCTGGAGATTGGGGAGGAAATATAATAATGGGACAATCCGTATTAATAGATCCGTTTACTGGGGGATAGATAAATGATTTCGAATGGCGTCTTGATGTAGCTTTCCGCGGATAAATTGGTGAAACATTCAGACATGTATAAAACGAGCCTTTGTTTACGTTCAGGTAATTTCATCTTTGAGGTCCGAAAGCGGTTTGTAGGGATGGAGTATATTGGTAGTATTTTATGCGAGAATCTTTTTGCCGTTTATGTATAACAGAGGTTCCCAAACTTTTTTGTGTCGTAGACCCCTTGCTATGTTTTTCGGTTTTGGGTAGATCTCCTTACTTACTTGATATTGATTTTTTGTAAATTTATTTATATTGAGACATCTTTATATTTATTAAGATCTTTGCTCTGAGACTGCGCGTATGCTTGTAACAAGATGATACTGGTATATCATTATGTGCAGGTTTTTTTACAAGTTCAAAATGTATTGCGACCACAAAGCGAATGCCTATATTCTACAACTTACATAATTTTATAAACATATACAATACATTTTTTACTTCATAGGTACTTTTATAAATGATGTTTAAGTCTTTATATTATAAGATAGTATAATGTAAGTAAATAGGTACTATCAGTGTATGTTGAGATCCACTATCGTGGACCCCAATTTTCATTTCATAGACCCCTAATTTTTTTTCGCTGACGTAGACCCATTGCAGGTTGTCATAGACCCTGGTGGTCGATATAGACCACTTTGGGAATCACTGATGTATAACAACAATGGTTGAAATGGAGATTGCGAGGGTGCCTTTAATTATTCTACTATATCACTGGATAATGGCTAAGATTGGAATGAAATCCTTGTGAAGCGTGCGAAGGAAAAGTGTTTAAAGTTTTTGGTTTTGTGCCAGCGTGAAACGAACATCTGTTTTCTTCGGAGCTGCAGATAAACGAGAGACTACTGAAAATAATAAAGGATGAAGAAGATGGCGGAGAAGCAGGAGGAGCGGGGAAAAAAGAAACAAAACGCTCGAGTGAGAACATCCAGTCGATTGCGTACCACTAGGAAGTGTGCCAGACTTATTCTTATTACGTATTATAATAAGATATATAGTGTAGACTTTTTTATTCTTCAGCTCTGCTTTGCTGCGAATATCTAACAGGTTGCCTATGGTGTGTCGAGTGCTAAAAGTATAGTGAGACAACTTATGGTGTGCTTGTTATATATCGCGAAATTGATGATTAAAGTTGTCTTCAGGTGTGCTGAAACCCGAGTCGTAAAACATCGGCAGGCGTCGGAGTTTTCACGGAAAAGGATTTCCTCCTCCCTGTTGAGGCAGAAAGCTCGGCGTCGCGTCAGTACTGACTCGGTTATGTGTGGGGGTGGATTTTCGTTGCCCACTCAGTATACGCGCGTTACGTTTCACGACTAATACAACATATAACATTCAGGAAACTGGCAACTTTTCAAAACTTTCAAATACAGGACTTTGAGACTGGCTAAAACCAAAGTGATCCCAATAGTGTTTCCAATTATGCAAGTGGTGTGGAAAATTGTTTATTTGAGAGTAATGGTTGCTGTGCTAGTCCTTCTATCGATGCTGGTCCTTGGGGGCACTGCTCAAACCTTCGCTCCCGATGACGAGGAATCAGGTAAGACCTATCCTAAGTGAGCTATCCTGATTAACTGCACATACACATGCTCTAATCCGCACTCTTTTCCCAACTAATTGAAGCTTTCGCTAGGCTTAAGTGGTCCGCGAATGGCTTCCGATAAATCGCATCGGCTTACGCTTACACTTTCTGCCATAACTTTATTTTTTCGTACTGGACATAAACTTCTCGTCCTAATTAACCATCCTGATCATATCTTCCTTAACTCATTATTATTTAATGCTAATATTTTTTTTTCGTTCAATACATAATCTTATCTGAAGCAAACCGTTCACACTTTGATAACCTTAGATGAAATAATTAGTGAAGCTTACGATAAACCCTATCAATAAGATTCCATTTATCAAAAAATGTAATTTAAATTCTCATTCACGACTCTATTTTTTAATATATTAACAAAGATTTATTTGAATTCATGAAAATGGACTAATCGAGTAATTAATATATACAAAAATAAATCGCACTAAATATACTTAACTCTGAAAAAAAAGCGATAGTTTTATATTTTATTTTTTTTTAGAATTTATTTGTATGGAATAAATTGTTATTAATGTAGTTAATTATATCAAATTAATATAAAAACATTTATTTCTCTGTTTTAATTATGTATATGTATTTTATAGATATTCAGATAAAACGAATCAGATTGAAAAAAAACACTCGTTGACTTCCCTTTTCCTTAATTAAGAAATATTACACAGACGATTGCGGACCTACTGAAAGCATACATTTGTTAGCGACGTTAATTAAAAATATTTTTGTTATATTTAATTATGCTGATTAGCAGAAACATCTTATTCGTTATTTAAGAAAAAAACGATTTAATAATCAATATTTGCCACTTATTTGCGTTATGACTATTTCTGAAGTATTTACTTATTCGCCGTCTTCGGTTCAACGTAAACCAAACATCGAGCGTTCATCAAAAGGGCTCTCAAATTCTGTATTTTCAGATTCGCCCTTTTCAGATATTTAATTGGCGTTCAAATCCTTTTTATACAGCAAATAAACTTGATGGGAAACGTTATATTAATTACGTTATCGCATTTCTTTTCGAACTTCGTGCAATCTATTTCCAGTAAAGTTTATATAATATTTTTTGCTTCAATAATTTATTTAAAAATACGTAAAGACATTTTAACAGGAAAGAGTAATTTTATAATGAATATCTAGAGTCTACACAATTAAATAATTATTTGATGTTCCTTTATACTCAAATACAGTGGAACCTCGCTAAACGAGCACCTCGCATAAAGCGCGTTTAGCTTAACGAATAAAATGATTTGTAAGAAAAATTACTCTCTTACCGAGCGACGTTTCGCATAACGAGTGACGATGAGAAGAGAAGATCCGAATTGCGCGCCTGCTACATCATTTTTGTATTTTTGAATATATTTCCACTGTAAATACATATAAGTGAGTATCTTATAATAGTACGCTTTGTGATGTTATCAACCGAGAAATTATTTACATTCGGTTTTATTCATGTTGCATATTGATTAACTATCTTTCAATCGTCAAATTCTAAATGGCTAATGATACTGTTATTTTCATTTAAACCTTGTTTATATTATTTATGATGTAGTATAGTGCTATTATATAATATTCATATATAAATTATAGCCACTCTATTCACTTTTGGACGAAGGAAAATATTTAATAACCGAATATGAAAGGATCAAGGCCGCAGAAGCCGACAATATTCCCACGTCACGTCGGTATGCGGCAGATAGTTTGCCATCATATTTGACAACAAACCCGTGAACACTCAAAAATGATTATATCCAGGAATTCGCAGTACCTCTTCCGCTGTCCGCATGCGGTATATTTTATCCGGGTATACTTCGCATTATTGCTCTCAAAAACATATGTCAAGCGCCTTCAGGCTCTATAGAAAATATGGAGACAGTTGACCGACCAGTTTATGGAACATGTGTTATTATTGATTCCGATGCAGACATCTTTTTGTTCTCTGCAAAAAAGAATATAACTTAACTCATATCTATGCCTTCAGTTATTATTTTGAAACTACTTTGACTATTAATTAACTATCCGCAAGTTAATGAATATGTAATTATTTGGGTAAAAAAAAATAAAACTGTATACAGTATTATGTTGTTGGCTTATTGTTAAATTGATCTTATATTATATCTATGGAGACTATGGAGAATATCGGATATTTGATATGTGATATTTAAAGAAATTTGATATACCGAGTTACTAGAAACGCACTATGTAATGTTTTTATAAATTACTTACAATGAGAAATCAAAGCACATACAAATATACATACAAATATAAATGATTAATTATATTTCAAATACAACAAATGCTATTGGCATTTACAAATATTTGTTTTTGACGTTTTTTTTATGTCCGTTGTAGCGTTCTATTCGATTTACTGGACCATTTTACACCATAAAAAGTTGCTTTTTGTGTTTCAATTATCATTCTTTTTTTACTAGTCGGGATTAATAAAATTTTAATTAAAATGAACAACGCGGTTTATTAATATTGATTTGACAGGAGGTTACTTCCGTGGTGGAGCTACTTTCATGTGTACGTACGTATGAGCTGATTTAATCTTTAATTCCAAGCCAGCTGCTGAAGACATAAACCGTTTAATTACCTAATGTTAAAGAACTATAATGTAATAGGAGATTGTAAAGTTTCCAGCCGATAGCCGTACACACTCCTTATTTAATTAAACTAGCCATTCGATTATAATAGCTGCAATTAGAATTCACACTTTAAATACCTAAAGAGCATATCGTAGTTGTTCGCAATTCCTTTGTTTGTTCCAGTTTAATTCCAAAATATTCTTTATATTATTTATATATCCTATAAGAAAATACAAGAAACGGTTATGATTCTTTAATTGTCTTAATAATATAAAGTAAAATCAAGCTTAGAAATGTGGATTATATTTGAAAATAATATAATTTATGAAACGCATTGCACAATTTTCTATATCATAGTATAATCAATGCATAACTTTTTTAAACCTATGTTATATAATAAAACACAACTTGTAAATTATTAGTAGTGCAAACTGAATTATTATTTAAATATTTAACATCATGTGAGTGACGATGTTGCGCAACTAATTTGCATTAAAATCATCCCCCATTGTAGTTTCTTTAGCACGTCGACGATATCTCGCGTAATACTAATGTTCTGGCAGATTCTCGGCGTTAAATTCCTGTTTTATACGCAAATTCGTTGGAACAATAACAAAACTTTTTAGGGCTTTAAATTGCGTTAATATAACGTACAACGTCAGCATCCGTAGCGAAATCAGGGCGCAGTTTGTTAGGAAAGTTTCAGTTTATCGCGGTCTGCAGCCAATTCAATCAGAAGTGGCGATTTACAATGGAAATATAAGAAAGTAGACGTATTGTAATTTAATGTGAAAATTATAATAACGCTATAACTTACCGCAACGATATTTCTAAGAATCTAATAAATTATTGTTCCATTTTTAATGCTGTAGATGTTCATTTTTAGTTTTACACTACCATCCGTTGCGTAACTTTTGCTGTTTTTTAGAAATACGCCTGGGTTTAAAATAATGTTTTGGGATACCGTGATAAGAATTAATCAAACTGATAACCCGTTTCACTATTTTAGTTTCGGTGTAGTTTATGTGGTAATCTTTTATTCTGATTATTTGAAGGTAGTAAAGCAGAACCATGATTAAGTTTATTAACTTTTAACGTATAGACAGGGATTGGATTTGATTTGGACATGTTACGGCTCACAAAGATAATTTGTACTAGATTGTTGTGGATTGAATTTATTGTATAAATAACTACGGTGTACTATCAACAAATGCTAGCGTTAAAATCATAGTGTAGTAAATGGTAATACAATTGTGCAGTCGCGAACAATACCGGAGTTATTTGATTCTGGATTAAAATCAATTGCATAATAGAATTTGATTAATAAATATGAAAGTAAATTTATTCCGGAGGAAGAAGTAAAAAAGTGTATGCTTCATTGATTAATTTTGTAAAAATGATGGGCCGTTGCGTTGCGCATTGCCTTAAGGCAATCATTTCAAAATCGAATGTTATTTGATTCATTCCACATGATTTGGATTTACAGTCTGCCCGTTATAAATGTTTCCGCTATGCAGCAATTTCAGTTTATTTTATATTCTCCGGTGTTTGCGTTTTTACATTCTTTGTTTTATAGCTACGAAAACAGCATTTGCTACAATAACATTGTTACGAGTTCGTATTCCCTTTTCATAACAAGGGCGGTTCTCCCGAATGTTAATCCATTCAATTAGAATTTTTTCAATTGGAAAATCCTACTAGATTAAAACAATTCTCTGCGGTCGCTGCTACCTAAAACCGATGAATATCATTAAGAAATGGGTCACGGAAATTTCATTACTACCGATTCCGCGGCGAGCAATTTCAGAGATTCGATTAGTAACTTAGTATATTTCAAAGTGAATTAACGAATTGTTCATAAGTTCGAAGTGAGAATATGATCATACATGTTGACAATTAGAACGTTCAATATTATCAAAAATGAACACTATATTATTATAAAAAGTATACTTGTCTGAAAAAGTTGATCTAATAAACATGCGTAAAATTGTCACTTAATTTAGGACATTTATTGTATTGTGATATCTAACGTTTATAGATTACATTTATATGCTGATGCATTTGTTCTTTCGACCATCAATTACATTAAAATATATGTAATATAATTAGTCTTAATTAATAATAATTATTATTGATAAATCTATAAATTATAAAATGGTATAATTAATAAATTAATTTATATTCGAATCAGTAAACGTCTTTAAAAATTATGAAACTCCTTGCTCGTTCACTTTCAAAATTATATACATTTTATTCTATGTATAACAGCATGTCACAATGCAATAAAACGTCGCCGTAATCTTGGGGTGATAACCTTAATAGAGACGTATTATTTTAATGATCCTGAGGAGTCCGAGG